CTATAATTTAGGTTATATAGCATTTCGAAATGACCATTTTTTTTTTTAAAGAAAGAAGCAATTGAATAAATATATTATTACTTTTATTCATGATAAATGAAGAATACTTAATTAGTGGAATGTGAAAGAACAAAAACGGATGTCCGAATTAATTAACCGACAAAGCAAGTTGTGAATTATTATTATTATTATATATACTGCATCCTACAATTAATATTATTATTAAGGTTTGACCATTGAGATTCTTACTTGTTTTAGTCTTAAAAGAAATCCCGCGATATGTGTTCTTCATAAATTAATAATTGACCATATGTCTTGGAAATGAAATAAATTCTGCCAAAGTCTACGTGGGCTCCTTGAGCCCCGGCGCAGCAGTTTCCAGTTTCCCAGAAAACCAACTTACCCGATTCAACTTTCTCGAGATTTTTTTTGTTTTGCCAACTCCTAAGAAAATTAATTGATGATTAGAGAAAATCTATAATAGTATAACCACACCACACTAATATCACTTCTAGCAGCTGCAAATTTTACTGCTATACTTCATATAGTAACATTTTTTGGGTGGCAAAAAACATATAGTAACATTTTTTTAATTTTATATATTAGAAATTATAATTTAATATTTTTGGATCCAAAATTTGATATTGTATCCCATATCATTAGTACCGATAATTAAGGGCCAAATATGTGCATGTCCTAATTCATTGTCAGTGAGTTCCCACCCAAAATTATTTTCAAAATTTTACAATTAATTTAATTAATCTGTCAAAATCTGGATTAGTTTTAAGCACATGCTATTAGCTTTTTATGTCAAATGTAGTAAAAACAAAGTCAGCTAATGGGCAATTCGTCATATATATCTGTAATTTAGAGAAATCTGGATTTCCACTTCTAAGAGAGAGTGCTGTCATTTAATTAGTTGAATTGAATTCAATATATTTAATTAATAAAATTAATAAGAATAAAAATAAACCTAAAAGATTCAAAGCTTTCTATAACCATACCGTGGCTCCGGAAGGGCAATTTCCGCCGGAGTTCTTGCAAGCCCACAAAGCAGTGCCTTGGCCATCAAGCAGGCCGCCGCGAACTGAAACTCCATCAACATTATCAAACACGATCCAGTTGTCGTCATTTCCGGTGACATGGTAGTGGGACGGAGCCACCAAGGTGCCGTCGATAGTTATAGAGATAGCCTTATTATTACATTCGCCACTGAAGGCAGTTTTTCCGAGCAAAAACCTCCCGGCTGGCACGTAAATGGTGGCCAATTCGGCCGAGTCGCAAGCTTTCTGCCATGCACTGAGGAACGCCTTGGTGCAATCGGTTTTGCCGTCGGGCTTGGCTCCGAAACTGAGCACATTGTAGTTGCCGACTTTAGAGGCGGCAGAGTTGAAGGAAGAAGACGAGAGGATGAAGAGGACTATGAGAATTGATTGAAGAAGAAGGGAATGGGAAAATGAGATCGTCATTTTCTGAAATTTCAGTTTCAGAACTGAAATTTGAGATAGAGAGAGAGAAGGAAGAAGGTGTGTGTTAGTGGAAAAGAAGGTGGTGATGGGGAAGTTAGAGCGGTTTGTGGGGTTATTTATATACTACGTCCACAGGTAATCATAGGGCAAAATTCAATTTGAAAAATATAAAATATAGAAATATCGTTCTACGAACATTAATTAGGACATAAACGAATATAAAATATACAGATTTAACAATGACTTTAGGTTTAGTGTTAACTCAGGTTGGTTAACCTGATTTGTACTCCCTTTGGTTCTATATTTATTTTTTGGCCACCTCTGGTTCTGTATATAAGTAAGTGAATTTTTAATTTGAAGGGATGTGACGTGTCGTTATTTATACGATACACTAGTAATTTGTTTAAAACATTTGGTATTATTTTTATTTTTATTAATTACTGATTATTCTTATTAATTATTCATACTCACTTACTTTATCTTTATAAATAAGATTTTCTTTAAAAAAAAAATAAGTTAGATTTTTTTACATATATATTTACTGTTTTTAACTAATTTTAATTAATTTTTTAACATATGATTAAGGTTGAATTTGTTCCTGAAGCTTTCACTTAGAAGTGCATGGCACTTATAAGTTTTTAGAAGCAAAATTGCTGTGAAAATTTAAAATCGTAACAATTTTGCTTCCTAATATTACAAAAACTAAAATTGTAATAATGACGGGTAATATTTTTAATGATAACAAGCATACTTGCAATGTATTTCAAAATTTTTGAAACAAATTTGTATATAAAAAAATTTTAGATATCTAGTATTTTTGAGTGAAAACTTTGGTAGCAAAATTGCAACTTAATCCTTATATCTTATAAAAATCAAATCTCCGTTGGAAAAGATATCCACATTTAGTGCCTGACAGTGCTTCAGAATTGCTTCTAATAATAAGAGGATAATCATAATTGTACCTAAAAAAAGATAAGAAAGTACTCCTCCGGTCCTTAATATAAGACTCATTTAACTAATTTGATTAGATTAAGGAAGTTAGGTAAATTAGTTAATCATAAAAAAAGTGACACATTTTTCCTAAAACACCATAATCATCTTTCTTAATACCTCATTCTCCCTCTTCTACTTGATTATGGTTGATAGAGTATCCATAGGGGTAATTTAGAGAAAATTAATAAATATGAGAAATGGGTCTTATATTTAGGACCAAAACCAACTCAAGAATTGGGTCCTATATTAAGTACATGAGGAGTATCTTCTTAAAGATTTTTCTATCCTTACTTTTTGAGATACTGCAATTTTTCTTTGAAGAGACTAATAATTTTCGGAACTAATTAAAAAATAAAACGTAGAGAAGAATGTAACGGAAGCGAAAAAGCTGCTCCGAACTGTGGAGTTGGAAGTGTCATCTAACTTCAAAATGAAGAGTGCGGCTTCCATGTGCTGCTCAAATATTTAATTATTTTCAAGGTCCGGGTAATTATACAAGTATTAAAGATTAAATCACAATTTTTTTTATTTCCAGTTATACAAAATAACATTTTAAACTAGGGGGTTGAGTTTAGTAAGAAGGGTTAATCTCTAATAACATGACAAATAAAAATTCAAATTTCTGCTAAAAAAATGTGTCATATCTAGTGTTTGAGAGTAACTCGAATACAATTGTTTTCATTATAGGGAGACACGTGCATAGAAAAAAAAAAACCTTTTAAATTGAACAATGCTGAATTTATTTTTTTAAAAAAATCTGTTTATTATTCTTTTTTGTGAGATACTCATATTATTATTTACCAATAGTCGAGACTAATTGTTTTCTTAATACTAAATCAAATGGCATACTCTTTTCAATCAAATTTGCTTCGATTGATCTATTATTATATTAAGGGAGAATCCTAATTAAATTCGGCTTTAAATGTCAAAATTAAATTAAGGCTTGCATTTTTAACAAATTTGAATTAGGCCAAAACGTCTTATTATGAGTTTTTGAATGTTGTTAAAAGACTAAAAATACTCTTTTACAATTTAAAATAATATTATTTTGAAAAGAAAAAAAATTAAGCCATCAAACTTGACATTATATAGTATTTATTTATTAAAAAAATTTTACATACAGAAAAAAATTTGAGAATACTAAGAGCAAAAAATTGACAATGTGTAATATAATATTTTATAGGGAAAATTACTGTAGAGTCCCAAAGAAGACAATTTACTACCAGAAGGTCCCATGAAATCAGAAAATGTATATGAGGTCCCAAGGGACCTTATAGCAAAAAATTTGAAACTTGCAATTACTTTCTTGCCCTTTTGATTAGAGAAAGTAACCGAAGCACACTCAAAATCGTTTCGGTTTTCATCTTCGAGAAATCGGCCGCGTGCTCACACTCCGTCGCCCGCTCACACTCCGCCGCCGTGTCGTTGGTGCTTTATCCTTGTGTGCTCCGACAGGTTCAATCTCCAGCGAGGTCTGTTAGTTTCTGGTTGGTACATTGTCGGTCGCTGCTCCGCATTCGGTCACTCTCTGGTCCGACGCCTTCAATCCCCTGCGCGGTCCATCGGTCTCGGGTCTGCACGCCGTCAGTCTGTCGTCTGCAGTCCGTCGGTCTCTCGTCCGCCCGCCGTCGCCGTCTTCTCCGACGCATTGAACGGTTTCAATCTCCAGCACGGTCCGGCCGACTCTGCTCAGCACTCCATCCCTCTCTGGTCCGCACTCGGTTGCCGTCTGCTCCGACGCCGTGAACTCTCTGGTACAGTCCGATGGTCTCTCTACTAACGCCTCAATCTCTAGACAACTAGTCTCTCTCGGTTAGAATATTTGACAATTTCAAGCTTCTTGGTCATATTTTGAAAAATGTTTGGTTTGGAATGTTTGAACATTTGAATTGTTGATTGTTCGTAAAAGCTGCTCGATGACCTGAAGTGGTTTGGAATGTTCGGTTGTTTCGTGTGTTTATATATGGAACCAGTGATAACCGTGACTTGTATTTTCACTGTGATATTAGAAATGTGAAGTATGTTGATATTACAATGATCTGACATGCGAATCAAAGTTAGGGGCAAAAGTTGGGGCTGGTTGGTACTAAGTTATATTAGAGATCAGTTTGAAGAACACTGGTTAAAATTGTCAAAAATTTGATTTGGTAGAGCTTTTTAAATGCAGCAATCAGTTATTGTTAATATTGCTGAATTAAAAGGGAGAACTTTATGTAATTGATTTGTTCGGCAATAAAATAATAAAGGTTTTGTTTGGCTTTTTATGGTGGGCTCCATGGTGGAATGTTAATTTGGCCATAAGGTCAGAAAGGGAATTGCTTGTTGGATATAGCACCTATTGGCTCTATACTATAACCAATGAAGGGAAATTCATTCTGGTGGATTGATTTGTGATCCATATTATTTACTGCCGTTCATTGCTTTCTGTCATCCAAAGGGATATATTTTGATTTTGTTGATTAGTGAATAATTTGGTGGTGTTGAAGATACTTACTATTTTAAAATATATGTTGATGACAGTATTTTTTTTCCTTTTTGCAGTCGAACAAAATGACTAAAAAGAGTAAGAGTAAAGATGGACAAAGGGCTAGGAATTTCTCCGGATACATATTATTCACTGAAGAGTTTTATGAGCAGAACAAGAAGAAGTTTAAGTCTTTTGAAGAGGGCACTAACTCTGTGAAAAAGGCTTGGGGGAACTTAACAGAAGAGGAGAAAGAACAATATGGTGAAAGGGCTAAAGAAATGAGAGTCCCACCAAAAGGGAAGAATTATATTGTTCCCTTTCACACACGCTGTGCTCCGGGACAATTTATGGAAGTCTGCAAGCAATTAAAGAAAAGTAAAGATAAGATGGAAAGACTGAAAAGAATTGGTTTTGATAAATTGGTTGACATATGCTGCTCACAGATCTATAGAGATTTTTGTGGTGAATTGATCCGTGTGTTTGACCCTGTAAGTAGGCAAATTTCAATTCGAGGGAAGACGCATTTAGTGGGGCCCGAAGATGTAAATGAATTGATGGGTCTACCATTTAAGGGGGAAGATATTAAAATAAATGTGGAGAATGAAGATGAAACGTTCAAGAAATTAAGGAGTGACTACGGGAAAGTGCCATACAAAACAATAGGAACATGGTTGATTGAAGGAAAAGAGGAAGAAAAGTTTGAATTCCTTTTTGTTATGTATGCACTAGGAGTCCTCTTGTGTCCTGGCTCTAGTGTATGGGTGAGTGATAAAGTGTTGAAAGTCATGGTGGTGACAAAGGATAGTTTAGGACACTATGATTGGAGCAGCTTAGTTTTGAAAGAATTCTGCAACTCAATTGCAGAGTTCAAGAAAGGAAAGAAGAAAGGAAAAGCTGATGGGACGAAAAATGTGGGAGGTTGCATGTACTTCCTAATGGTAAGTGTGGGTATGATTCATTTACTTTGATGTTAGTTTATTGTCAATGTGCTGTGTAGGTTGTGATTGGTTGCTCTGTATGTTGTTATTTACTACTCTGTTGTCAATTGGAGAAATGTACGCTGTCAACTGCTTATGTATAGGTTGTGATTTGCTGGTGTCAAGGTTGTTATAGTACTGTGTGCAGGTTGTTAATGGATTGTGTTGGTTTGTCACCTGGTTATGTATAGGTTGTAATTGCCTTCTGTTCGTGTTGTCATTCGGTTTATCGTGGGTTGTCAATGGCTGCTGTGCATGTTGTGAATGACACAAATGTAGGTTGTGATTAGCTGATGTGTAGGTTGTGACTGTATGGTGTGCATGTTGTCATTTGGTTTAGCGTGGGTTGTTAGTGGCTGCTACTCAGGTCAATGGCCTGTGTTGGTTTGTCACCTGGTTATGTATAGGTTGTAATTGCAGTCTGTTTGTGTTGTCATTCTGGTGAGTATGGGTTGTCACTGGATGCTGTACATGTTGTGAATGGCGCAAATGTATGTTGTGACAGGCTTATGTGTAGGTTGTGATTGGACACTGTGTATGTTGTTATTTACTACTCTATGTCGTCAGTTGGAGAAATGTACGCTGTGAACTGGTTATGTATATGTTGTGAGTGGATGGTGTGGAGGTTGTTATTGACCTGTGTGCAGGTTGTCATTGGGCTGTGTTGGTTTGTCACCTGGTTATGTATAGGTTGTAATTGCAGTCTGTTCGTGTTGTCATTCTGTTGAGTATGGGTTGTCACTGGATGCTGTACATGTTGTGAATGGCGCAAATGTATGTTGTGACAGGGTTATGTGTAGGTTGTGATTGGTCACTGTGTATGTTGTTATTTACTACTCTATGTCGTCAGTTGGAGAAATGTACGCTGTGAACTGGTTATGGATATGTTGTGACTGGCTGGTGTGGAGGTTGTTATTTCCTGTGTGCAGGTTGTCATTAGGATGTGTTGGTTTGTCACCTGGTTATGTATAGGTTGTAATTGCAGTCTGTTCGTGTTGTCATTCTGTTGAGTATGGGTTGTCACTGGATGCTGTACATGTTGTGAATGGCGCAAATGTATGTTGTGACAGGCTTATGTGTAGGTTGTGATTGGTCACTGTGTATGTTGTTATTTAAATGTACGCTATGAACTGGTTATGTATATGTTGTGAGTGGATGGTGTGGAGGTTGTTATTGACCTGTGTGCAGGTTGTCATTGGGCTGTGTTGGTTTGTCACCTGGTTATGTATAGGTTGTAATTGCAGTCTGTTGGTGTTGTCATTCTGTTGAGTATGGGTTGTCACTGGATGCTGTACATGTTGTGAATGGCGCAAATGTATGTTGTGACAGGGTTATGTGTAGGTTGTGATTGGTCACTGTGTATGTTGTTATTTACTACTCTATGTCGTCAGTTGGAGAAATGTACGCTGTGAACTGGTTATGGATATGTTGTGACTGGCTGGTGTGGAGGTTGTTATTTTCCTGTGTTCAGGTTGTCATTAGGATGTGTTGGTTTGTCACCTGGTTATGTATAGGTTGTAATTGCAGTCTGTTCGTGTTGTCATTCTGTTGAGTATGGGTTGTCACTGGATGCTGTACATGTTGTGAATGGCGCAAATGTATGTTGTGACAGGCTTATGTGTAGGTTGTGATTGGTCACTGTGTATGTTGTTATTTACTACTCTATGTCGTCAGTTGGAGAAATGTACGCTGTGAACTGGTTATGTATATGTTGTGACTGGATGGTGTGGAGGTTGTTATTGACCTGTGTGCAGGTTGTCATTGGGCTGTGTTGGTTTGTCACCTGGTTATGTATAGGTTGTAATTGCAGTCTGTTCGTGTTGTCATTCTGTTGAGTATGGGTTGTCACTGGATGCTGTACATGTTGTGAATGGCGCAAATGTATGTTGTGATAGGTTATGTGTAGGTTGTGATTGGTCACTGTGTATGTTGTTATTGGGCAGTGTGTAGGTTGTGATTGGTCACTGTGTATGTTGTTATTGGGCAGTGTGTAGGTTGTGATTTTCCGCTGTTTATGTTGTCAGTGGCCTGTTTGGATGATGTTGTTGTATATCTAAGTTATCATTAACTTCACATGCAGATTTATTGCCTACAACACTTTCCTCTCGGAAAAGAAAAGGCGGCAAAAAATGAAAATGCCATTACTTATTGGGATGAGGAAAAAGTGAAGGCAAGAGTGAAATCAGAAAAGAATAGCGACAGAGGCATACTGCATGGCGTTCCGAGTGTCGGTGGGGCTTCAACAAGTGCATCCAACACAGGAATAAAGCTAACCCACCCTGTAAGTAAATCATGTGAAGCTTATTTTGGTGCTGTGTAGAATTTGGAGTAATGATAACTTTCATTACTGTTGTTTTGCAGGAAATCAAGAGAACGTATGAAAGGTTGATGACCATGGTTGAAGGGTTGGTGTCGACAATTGGAGAAGAGTTGGTTTCCCTGCAGTTGAGGTTGACGGATGAGATTGACAAGGAAGATGTGGTGGAAGCAGTAAGTAGCGAAGATGACAAAGAGAAGGCAACTGAAGATGAAGAAACCGGTGAAGAAGGTAAAGGAAGCCCAAAAGATTCAATTCTGTCACAAGAGGAACAACAGAGTGAACCAGAAGGAGATGATAAAGAAGAGGGCAAAAGTGCTTCGCGTGAAGAAGAGAGTCAATCTCAACCTGAGGAGAAAGGAGAAGGGAGTCACTCTGGATCAGAGGATGATGGAGAAGAAAAAACACAAGACAAGTCTAGTGATGCAGCAGCAGAAGAGGATAAGGGTGTAGGCGATGAAATGGAGGAAAAGGATGAAATGGACCAGCAAGCACAAGGGCAAATGGATGTAAGAAGATCAACACGGGTGAGAAGCCGTGCAATCAAATCTCCCTGGTTAGAGGAGGTGAAAAAAGGCCGTGGCAAGAGAAAAGCTGACGAGAAAGAGGAATTATTCCAGATGTGCACGAGAAGATGTGATCAAGATGAAGGTGCCAAGTAAGTGTTGGGACTGATTGTAATTGGGACAACTGATTGACAACAATTTTACACATACAACCCTTGTGCTCATTGTTCCTTTTGCTGCAGGTACATTGTAGAGATGTATGGGTACTTCTTGACACGTGCTGAGCTTTGCTGCCTACAAGACAGGAAATGGATGAACGACAGGGTAAGACAGTTGTTTATATAGATAGAGAACTGCGAATGTCATTATGATCATGACTAACTGTTTGTATGTGTGATATAGTTCATGTCTATGGTGGCGAGAACCTTGGTGGGAGATGAAAAAGAGAACCACGGTCGTGTCAGTAGGCACATTTTTTCACCCGAGTTAATGCAAACAATGGCCGCTAATCCTCTTAGGTGGAGCCTGGAAAAACATGAACATGAAATCTTACCGGAGCACATAGGATATAACATTGGAGACTGTGACTTCATATTTGGCCCCACCCTTTTCAATTACCATTGGTTCTGTTACGTGATGGATGTAAGAACCATGCGTTTCTATGCCCTTGACTCGTTGGTGGACAATTTGACGATGTTGAGATTACAAAGAGAGGAAGAAGAAGCAATGAAAACAGGGAAGAAACCACAAAGGAAGCAAGGGAAGAAGAGAGGACAGATAGATCCTAAGCAATTCATGGCGAGAGGGATTGTATGCACAACTTTACATTCATTCTATAACTTGTTAATGCGTTATGGTTGCTTGTCTGCTTAACTGTCCTGGTTGTTAATGCCTGCTGATTACTTGTCATTGGCTACAGCGAAGGTTGTTAATGCTTCCTGATAACTTGTCATTCACAACTGTCAAACTTGTTTCTTCTGTTTGTCCCTTTTTTGCAGAGAGATTGTTTCTGCCAAGTGCTTCGTGTGCTGAAGCCATCACTGTTTGCGGAGGAGGACAAGATTGACGAGGAAGTCACATGGGCAAAAGTTCATGTGCAATCTGACACGTGAGTTATTTTTCAGCACAACAAGTACTTGTGTCTCAACTTTTGGGAGCTAATGTTCATTCACTAAAGTACTTGTTTTTCCTTTGTAGGGACTCTTGTGGGGTGCATGTGTTGAGCTGGTTACAAACATGGGACGGCACTGAGTATGGTGATGACGGCTACACAATGCCTAAGTACTCCCCTGAAGAAATCCATGACTTGAAGGTTGGATGCTTGTGGTGGCTCGTGACTCATCGGAACAACCTGCATGGCGATGAAGTGCTGTCTTTGCTGCGAGGAAACCCCCAAAGCAAGAGGAAGAAATAAATGACAAGCATATATTGTATTTACATTTATTTATTTGACAGCATAGTGACATCTGAACGTCAAGTTCACATTTTATTCTTTTCTTTGAGCATGTATGAATCCTGGATGTTAAGATATGTTAATGTGTTTTGATATCCTTTACTGGTTATCAAGTTTTTGTAAAGGCATTCATGTGTTTTCATCATGGCCACAAATGCAGACTGAATAAGACTGGATAAACAAATGGTAACCACGGTGACATGATAGGCATATATCAGAGTCCTCTCTGCCACATCTGTTTACAACCTCAACAGGGGTTGTTCACAACCTCAAAAGGGATTGTTGACAACCCGAACAGAATTGGTTAACAACTCACTCGGGGTATAACACAGCTGTTAACTTAATTATATTATGAGCACATATAACGACCTTAATAGCAAAAATTGGGAGCATTTTAAAGTCATTAACAGCTTTAAAAGAACCAAATCATATTACAGCAGATTTTTATTCCAGCAATTCATTTACAACCTCAACAGGGATTGTTGACAACCCGAACAGAATTGGTTAACAACCTTCGCATTGCCCCTGACAACTGACGCTGGGGATACCACAACCTCCACATGAGATCTAATTCTAACCAAATCATATCATATTATGACTTTAACACAGCTCGAATGTCTTAAGAAATCACTGAACACTGGAAGTAGGAGAAATTGTCACTTTATATCAGTAACATAATTGAGACTGCTAATGACAACCTGCATGGCGTCTGATAACAAGTCCATTACAACCTATTCACCAGTACATCAAAAATACAGAAATGATGTTATATCAGATTACAACCAGGTGTCATTTACCACTTGATATATATATGTACAACATAACTACACCAAATTTACAACCTATTCAAAAAAGCATACGTGTTGCATGTGTGGATAATGACGGACAACTTGAGGTGTAGGTTATGACATTTACAAAAAAAATGCTGTCACAAGCATTCACAAAACGAAATATCAACAAGCCACCAGCAAAGCTCAACTTGGATTGGGGTTCTGGCAAGTCTTCACAGTGTGGCCTGGCTCATGGCATCTTCCACAGTGGTAAAGTTTTTTACTTTGAAATTGAGATTCAATCCTTCTTTTCTTTGGCCTCCCTGAGGGTCTTTTAGTGATTGGTGGCTGTAAAAATGTTCCCGTCATCATCTGCGTAACGGTGAGAGCTTCGGGACGAGGACAATCATGTGTCGCAATTGGCCTCATACTACTTGCATATATCTTCTCTTGGGCTGACAGCTTATAGCAATCATCTACAAATTCATAAACACTACCATGAAGTAGCTTTATCGCTGCACAGGCATGAGCACAAGGTACTCCGCTCATTTGCCATGCTAAACAAGTGCATTTCTGAGCTGTGAGATCAACAGTGACACAAATTATTCCAGTAGGAGATGTAGTATCAACTTGAACTCGGTTATCTCCATAATATACAGTATGCATATTCTCCGCTCTTGCTACTTTTTCTTGCAACTTGGACTCAATATTTGGCCCAACGCCATTTGTCCAATTTTCCATTGCCATTTTGCTTGCAACCATCTTCTTGGCTAATTTCTCCATATGCTCATGTATGAGAACTGACACATTGTGCTTCCTCTCCTTCAAAATCCAGGCATTAAACGACTCCGCAACATTAGTGGTGATGTTATCCCATCGCTTAAACGGGAATTTGCTTAAAGCCCACCGATCTACATCTCCTTGAGTGTCAACCCAATCAGCCAATTGTGGACAGAATGATCTAAGTTTCCCCATTGCAGCAACATATTCATCCTCAATCCTTGCATAGGCGATTCCATCCAGCATTTTCAATGCAACGTCCTTTGAAGTACCTGAAACTCGTCCCCTGCCTCGGTTAATTTTTAAATAATGTGCACTAAAATTTTCTTTCACATGCCTATAACAAAAAGCATGTCTCTCGCCACCAAATATTGTTCGCACAGCACCTATAATGGCATTATTCCGATCTGAAACTATCGTTGTCTCCACTGATCTTGTGATGTCTTTGATGTTCTGGAGAAACCAAGCCCAATCATCATATGTCTCCCCACTAACTATAGCATATGCTAATGGAAATAGTTCATTGTCTGCATCATATGCATTAGCTGAAATCAATGTCCCCCTGTAAGGACCACTTAGATGACAGCCGTCTATATAAAGTATATGTCGACACCCTTCTAAAAATCCATTAATTGAGCATCCATAAGCAATGAACACCCTCTGAAATCTGTTACTATCCAACCCTTCCCATCGAGCACTTGTGTTTGGATCAGTTTCAATGAGCCTTTCACAAATCCAGGGAATCGCCATGTATGAATCCTGTGCACGACCATGTATTTCCCTCAATGCTCTTTCTCTACCCCTGTATGCTTGACTATAATTCAGTCGCACCCCATATTCTCTATACAGATCTCTTCTAAGTTCATTAGCATTCTTGTCTATATTACACCTCAAAGAATCTATCATGATTGATGATGTTAAGTTTGACCCTCTAGAGTGAGATACAACCAAGCTGTCCTGTGCATAATGCACATGCTCACTTCTTAAGGTTCTAATTATTAACAACTCAGAATCTTGTCTTTGTCCCATTGAGTATGCACCCATATACCACGGGCATCCCTCCGCCATACACTTCACAATGATCTTTTGTTGATTGTTCTTCACAAACTTGTATGAAAACTTCACAGCAATACTGTACCTATACAGTGCTTGCCTAAGAGCCACTGCATTAGGAAAAATCTGTCCTTCTCCGATAACCAAACCCTTCCACTTTGTTGAATTCATTTCCGGAATTGGGGTTGGCATCATTTCTGAACCACATGGCAACAATAGTGGGTCTTCACTAACCACATTAGGTGGAGACATGGACAATGTATCTGAACCTCCGAACAAGTCTTCCATCCTACATAACAGAACAGGTCAAGGGGTCGTTAATGACAACCTTCGATCACTATAATAACAACTTATGCACAACAGTTGACAATAGCTAATATTACTTCGAAATTTAAATAACACAACTTACACATGTTGCTCTTCTATTACAACATCCCTTGTTAGTTGTGAATTTTGATCTCCATTTTCTCCTATATATACATGACCACTGTCGCCATTGAAGTTAATCAAATGTTCTACTCCTTCATCATCTACAAGGTCCACAAATGTACACTCATCAAAGGTTACTGTGAATTTCATAACCATTCCATTACTTTCTTTTCCCACAATTGATGCCACCATTGTTCTAAATTCTCCATATGATGTCCCTTCTTTATCATTCTTGTTCTCACACCACCTCCAACATACTGCGTTTCACCTTCTACACCATTAATAAATTGTCCTCCTATATGGAGGTAGCAAAACAATTGCTTTGCACTGGAAGTTGCCATCCTGGATATCAACCTGCCACAATCACTTGTTAATAACAAGTCATACAGTTATGTTAACAACCTTCGATGTACCCATTAACAACACATTTAACCATCGCATTTGAGGGGTTACAATAATAAATATCTGTCATTTTCCACTCATTTCCATCAGCAACACAGCATCATTGCCCGAAAAACAGAGCATCATTCACCGAAAAACAGAGCATTGCTTTCTAACCATAGCCACACATAGTAAAACCACACCTAACATGATTAAAACCACATATGACTAAAATGAGCCTCCCTTGATATTTCTAGAGAGCTGAATCACATGCTTAATACCAACGTATAAACACCCAATCAACTTTTCAGACCAGCATTAAAGCTGCGACTGGTTGTTAATAACAAGTCATACAGTTATGTTAACAACCTTCGATGTACCCATTAACAACACATTTAACCATCGCATTTGAGGGGTTACAATAATAAATATCTGTTATTTTCCACTCATCTTCATCAGCAACACAGCATCAGTGACCGAAAAACAGAGCCTCATTCACCGAAAAACAGAGCATTGCTTTCTAACCCTAGCCACACATAGTAAAACCACACCTAACATGATTAAAACCACATATGACTAAAATGAGCCTCCCTTAATATTTCTAGTGAGTTGAATCACATCTTTAATACCCACATATCAACACACAATCAACTTTTCAGACCAACATTAAACTTGACACTGGTTGTGTACAGAAGAAGAGAAATGTTGTTAATGATGAGACGTACCAAGAAGATGAAGAAATAATGTCGCTTGCCTGCGATGGAGTACCAG